AATAAACGTCATGTAGAGCTGGGGAATGTCTCATTTTAATCAGAAATGTGCGCGCTACAATTATATCTTATTTAAAAATGTTTTGGTTATTTTTTAAAGTTTCTGAAAAACTGGTTTTCTAGAAAACCGGGTCTTCAAGAAACATTGGGAAAAATGCTTTATGCCACTAGAAGCAGCTCGTCGAGCTCTATCGACTGGGGTACCTCTCGTTAGCATCTGTGATTAACACTTGGGATAGTTCCCTCGTCAGACAGATTTAACTCGTTTTTGACGGATCAATTACAATTAATCGATATCGAGAACAGTTGGTGCAAAAAACGATGTAAGCAAAGTGAATGTTCAGAAAAAAAAGTTGTTGATCGTTATAATGTCGTGAGCTTACGCATCATGTGTGTGTGTATTTGAGGAAAAGTAAGTAGTTATACAGACTAGTTATAATCGAACAGAATCAACTGACCAGCTCGTTAATGTGAGACGAGAGCGAGAAAATAAAAGATCAGGCAATGTTGATCAGAAAGTTTTGCTTCATTTGTAAGAAAAATGTACAATAGTTGATATTTTCCTTAAGGCTCAAATTGAGTCCTCTGCCCATGCAAGTTCTTTTTCACTATATTTCAAGGTGGAGAACCCGGAGTTGTTTTATTTGAAGAACTGTTTACCCCTTCGGATGAGGGGAAGGGATTTTTTTATTCTTTTTTATTTTGGAAAGCGTTGAAACCTCTAAAACCTTGAAATACCATCAGAGGTGTTCCAGACAGACGCGGTTTTCTACAGAACTAGGGCCTACTTAAAAAATTCCCTCTCCTCATCCGAAGGAGACTCCTTCGGATGACCGACCCCTAAGAGCTCAAAAACTGAATAGTAAATCGGAAACTGTACAACTATGTACAAACTGTACATTGCAAGTAAACTCAAAAACAAATACGCCGTCGTATTGGCAGTGTCAGACGCGCTGCGTTTCACCTCCCACCAAAAATCATTGGCTGATTTAGGATTTTTACCTAGATTTGATTTATGTCGGGTAAGACGTCTGTGTTAGTTTCATAATATAATTCGGGGTAAAGCTCCACAATATCTTTGCGGATTAGTTCCTACTCTTTACTACTTATCATCTTCGAAGTCGTACGCGCTCTGATGTTCCTATACCCAGACGAGGACTAGCAGGCTTTGACAAAACGCTTTTTTCTAGAAACTCTGTGTCTACGGAATGCTCTTGATGTCTCCAATCGGTCTATAGTTAATCGACAACGATTCAAATTAGAGCTAATATATCGTCTCCGTTTATAAGTCCGCTATATAAGTCTCCGTTTGCCTATTGTATCAAATAGACGACTTGAAGTCTACTTTACTAGATGTAGAATAGGATTCAGTCAATTAAACTTTGATCTATTTACCTATGCGTGTATTCAATCTCCATTGTGTATTTGCAATAAAGCAAATGAAACTATCTGTCATTACTTTTTTGATTGCGAGACGTATAATTTTGAGTGTCTGTCTTTACTAGAAGTCATAATGGCTGTTCTTCAAACAGACACAGTTACAATTGATCAAATTTTGCTTCAAGCTGCTATTGTAAGATGTCTACCTAGGAATGACTTGATTCTTATATATAATGCTATCTTAAATTATATTGCCGATACGAAACGTTTTGTTCAGTCTTGATGCTGTTGCCTCTTATCTTCCACCCTCTATGCAGAGTTTTTTTTCTCCTCTATTAATTGTTCCCTTTCACAATGATATTATTGATATAGATCATTCCTTTAGTCTATATCAACACGTCTATCTGTTTTATTTTCATCTTATTCTACTCTTTTCTTTTGCTTCATATTTTATTGTATTGTATAAGAGTCTGTGGCATATATGATTACGCTTTGCCACTTTACTAATGTAGAAAACAAATGGTTTAAAAAAAATACGCCATTTTGCAGAGAATTCAATTCTCTACAAAAGCATATTTTTAGAACGTTGTTTTAAAAATGTTTTTGGTTAAAACATTAAAAATCCGGTTTTGGATGAAAAATGAATTTCAAACGGGTTTTTAAAATAAAAAACTGCATTTAGTCATGTGCTAAAAACTTTCGTTAACGAAAATTTTTTTTCAAAAACTTGATCAGCGAGGTGTAACGTTACGTGGACAAGTCGCTCAGAGAACTGCAGAATTTCTAGAAAGCTCCTTAAAAATCTTCGAGATTCAATAAAAGTTTTATATATTTGTGAAGTAGACATCTCAGACGACATGCTCGTATATCATTTTTTGACGAAAATCGACTTTTTGGAGGAGGGAGACGGCCTTAAAGGTGTGAATTGTTCGTGGATAAAAAAAGAAAATCGTTTTACCTGCACAACCAGCTTGACTGTGTAATTCCCCGTAGTTCACCTCGTCATCAATATGACTGCTTATATCCATTTTTTCATAATCCATCACCGCTGGCTCTTCATGATCAGTTTCGTCTTTCTTTCTTATCTTATTCTTATTCCAATTGTTTTTCTTATTTAGATGTTCACTTACGCTCTTAAAATACCCATGAGCTAGGTCAAATTTACCTTGTTCATAGCGAATATTACCGAGATTATTGTAAATCGCTGCTATGTTTTTATGATTATCCGGCTCTTCATGATCAGTTTCGTCTTTCTTTCTTATCTTATTCTTATTCCAATTGTTTTTCTTATTTAGATGTTCAATTGCGCTCTTAAAATACCCATGAGCTAGGTTAAATTCACCTTGTTCATAGCGAATACTACCGAGATTAATGTATGCTGCTATGTTTTCATGATTATCCGGGAATTCAGTCAATAAAATATTATAATATTCCGCAGCTTCTTCATATTCACCTATCTCAGTTAAAAAGCTACCTAATGTTAATAATGATGATGTTTCGCCTAACTGTTGTTTTAAATAATTAGTTAATTCTATTAAACGTTTATCTTCATCTTCTTTAATTAATTCTAATTCAATAATCCATATTTCTTCATCTTTATTAATTGAATTTATACGCCATATTGTACCAGCAGAAAATAAAATTTCATCTTCATCCGGTATATCACTAAACTCTCGAATAAGTGCATATGGTCTTGTTGCAATTTTATCATTTATAGGTAGTTTAAATAAGACACGTTCATAACCAGGACGAACTGGATCACCTTTACCAGAATAGATATTAGTAATTTGCTGATTAAGACTAGCTGATACAAATCCATTCATCGATATTAATCCATTTAAATTTTCTTTTAAATTTTCAAGTAAAATGGCTTTTACAGCTGTGCCTCTATAGATAATTGATGGTAATGGTTTTGTACGAGTTTTATGCAAACTATCTAATTGTCTGTGTACTTCTGTAATAATAAAACGAAATCTATATAAACAAGCAATATTTTGAGTCATCAAAGCCTTTTGTGTCAAATGATGACAAAAACTATGCTTTGTAAACCACCGAATGGCATCAGCTGAACAATATTCTGATTCAAATTTTTATATTCTTTTGTTCTGCGGCATTATCCTTATAATAATCACGACAAGCGTCAATCATTGTCTGTTTTGCTCTGCGTGTTGTTGGCATACGAAGAAGCACTTCAATTATTAACTGAAATTTAATAAATTCAATTGATTGTTTATCTAAATTTTTTATTGAATAATTTATTATTTCAGTTTCATTGAAATAACTTATTAATGGTGACGTTTCATTAGAAATTAAATCAGTTCTACTATTTTGCTTCAAGACAAAATTTTCTAATTCTTGAAATAATAAAGTCTGATCAATAAAAATTTTATTTTGTGTTTTTAAATAACTTTTTTCAATCCATTGTTGCTGTTCCTTTTGATTTTTACAATAAATATAAATATCAATAATTGATAACTGTTCATGTATTATTGGAATGAAATATTTAGCGGATGTGTGAGAAACAATCAATATAAATTGCATTCTTTTCTTTTCAAGAATATAGGAAATGCAATCTACTGCTCTATCAAATTTTTTAACATAATTAAAAATTTTTTTTAGTTTAATATAAATCTCCTCCTCCTCATTGTTTGTACTGGAATCTGATGAATACAACCATAAAACAATAAAATTTTGAGCATCATCTTTTGTTTTATAAGTATCGACCAACTTAATGGGTCTGAAAAACAAAACGAGAGTCTGTAGCTTTAAAAGAAATACGGAACTCGATTACTTACTTATATATCAAACATTCAGCCATTTTTAACTCTTCTTTGACTCCAAAAGAAATGTTAACAATGATTAAGCATGTTTCATCTAATATTCTAAAAGATACAATCAAAGGTTTTTTCTGTTGTGATATGTACTGTTTTGGCGATCGTATTGATAGTCTGAAGGTAAGGACTTAATAAAATCAGTTTTGCTCACTTCTACCAGCAGACATTTGGCAGAAAAAAAATATTCACAGCTGTAATGCATTTCTTTTCCAGTTACATAAATCACAACTAGAATGCTAGACGGGTATATAAAACCTTAGTGCTACTCGATAATTTTAAGGCTTAAAGTTCTCAAATAGTACATTTTATAGATGAGAAGCCGGCCCTTAAGATGAGATGTGGCTCTACATGAAGCAAAGTTAGAGAGACGACAACCGTTTCGTGCTGAATTTATGTTTTGGATCTGTATTCCGAGATTTCACTGATATCTCTCTAAGTTTACTTCATCCAGAACGGAGACATCTCACTTTAACAGCCAAATTTTCATCTATAAAGTGTACTATTTAAGAAAATTTCAACCTGTAAAGTTATCAAATGGTGCCAAGTTTTTTTGCATCCGTAAATGGACCACCCTAGTCGACCGATCTTACGGCAATTCTATAGAAATCTTATAAGAATCTTATATAAGGCAGTCGATGGAAATGCGTAATTTATTGATAAGATTCTTATAAGAAGGAATATAAGAATCTTATAAGA